ATTTAGGTTGGCAAAAGTAAAATAAAGCTGATTTAACAGGAATGAGACCTATCTTGTCATTCGTGCTTTTACTAACAATCTTATTGGATCTTTAATCAACACAAGTGATTATGTTTTCAATTTTCTATCTCGTCAAGAAACAGCAAAACTTTCTCAGCTGGAAAGCCTGTTTAAGTAGAGGCCTGGTTTCTGCTCTTGTTTTTTATGCCATCATTCCTGGGAGAAGGCAGTCTGCCCTTCTGTTAGTTACAACTGTCATGTGAGGGGACAGACTGCTCTCAATCTCTGCTGCTGAAGTTCTCCTACGTATGGAAGAATTATAAATCCATAAGGCCAGAGAGCAAGTGTAAGCAGAGCTTAGACACATTCTCCATCATGTATGGAACATTTATAGCATTTGCTTTTCCAGAAAAGACTTCGTTTCTTGATTCCTACTCCACTAAGTATCTCTATAACTACTATGACGCGTAGAAGGACTGGCTAAAGGTTCCCCACTGCCAGACAACTGTCCAAACAACTGTACCATTTATGCTTACTGTTTAGTTGTTTCTGTGACTCAGTATATAAATTGATTATACCACAAGAGTGGAAGTTTCAGAGAAGCAGACTAAAAGCATCTCATATTAGAATACACTAAAGTTTGGCAGTTAAGGAACAATTCTGGAACACTCTTCAGGTAGAGAAGGGATTTTAATCTGAGTATCTCACAAAGTGGAAAATGCTTTTATCAAGTATTAACTGATTAGGGGCCTTGCTATCCTGTTGCTTGTTTTACAAGAAAGGCCTGGCACTTTGAGGCTGCACCTCAAATACTGTGTTCAGTTCTGGGCCCCTCACTACAAGAAGGACATTGAGGTGCTGGAGCGTGTCCAGAGAAGGGCAACGAAGCTGGTGAGGGGGCTGGAGCACAAGTCTTATGAGGAGCGGCTGAGGGAACTGGGGGTGTTTAGTCTGGAGAAGAGGCTGAGGGGAGACCTTATCGCTCTCTACAACTACCTGAAAGGGGGTTGTGGCGACGAGGGGGTTGGCCTCTTCTCCCCAGTGATAGGACAAGAGGAAATGGCCTCAAGTTGTGCCAGGGGAGGTTTAGATTGGATATTAGGAAAAATTTCTTCACTGAGAGGGTGGTCAGGCATTGGAACAGGCTGCCCAGGGAGGGGGTGGAGTCGCCATCTCTGGAAGTGTTCAAAAAACGTGTGGGTGTGGCACTTCAGGACATGGTTTAGGGAATCTGGTGGCACTGGATTAATGGTTGGACTTGATGATCTTGAAGGTCCTTTCCAACCTAGTGATTCTGTGATTCTGTAATTCCAGGAGATGAAGCACTGCCATCTCTTAGAGGAGTGACATTTGAACCCATCCCATTACCATGTTCCTATTTAATAAGTTAGCTTTTGGGCATCTCATTTTCAGTTGCCTTACTCCTCCCAGGACTACATAAAGAAAAACTGCACTGGTCAAACACCTAAAATGTAGACACTGCTCAACAATGCAATACCCAAGTGATTCCTAGGGGCATAGGCTTAGTGCAGTGCATTTGTACTTAACTGTCCGAATTGCTGCAATTATCTCTCCACGTTCTTTACTTGCAATATACTGGAAACTGCATAAACAGAACAAAAATAAAGTGAGAAGTAAAAATTAATGTGAAGTTGAGGATATAATTATACCTTAATTTAAACACTTAAGTCTGGACTATGTGTTAGATTTCCATAAGTTATGTAGGTTTTGTCTGGGTTTAACACATTAAAACACTCTTTTTGTTGGTTTTCCCCTGCCACTGTAAATACTGGATTTTTCACATGAAGGCCAACAATTAAATATTAAAATGAGGGAAAGCTACCCTACCAATCTATTTTTACATCATATACTTATCTTCTTAATAAAGACTTGTACTCATTTAGATATTGATGTAAAAGGTCACCTGAAAGTTTCATATATTCCTTATTTTTGAGGAAAGGGGTATACTTTTTCAGCGATAACTCAGAACAAGTGAGCTACCAGTGTTTTCCTGTATCCATGAATCGAGGTGAGAGGAATATAACATATGGAGTCACAAAGGAAAATAAGGTTACTACATGCTTATAATAATGCCAAGAAAACACTCAAAATAGAAACAATAACTTACTACCTTTCATCCTCTGTTGCACTGCCACTTTTTTCAATTTTATGCATATCTTGTAAGCTTTCCTGAATGGCTTGTTGGGTAGGGATTTCATCATCAGAATCATCATCGAACATGTATGTAGAATTATACATGGCAAATCAGCACAACCTGGATCACTTTTTGTAGGCAAAGACTGCTTTTTAATTCAAAGCAGGTGTTAAATCTTCAGGTTAAATCTGGAGTAACAGAAATAGCAATCACGGTTTAAGTATCAAGAAAAATGAAACATAGTTTAAAATTAATTAATTGGAACTTCTCCATCTCAAGCTCCAGCCTTCTCCCAAGTATTTAAGTTTGTGCTACAAAGAGTTATTCTATTTAGAACAGAATAAAGGTTTATCTATTCCAATAGCATGTGCCAGCTTTTATCTCTGTTCCACAGACTGAACATACAGAATATCTACTTGTTCTGGCATTACTTATTAGAAAGCAACAAAAATAAGTAAAACTTAGTTTTCAGATAAATAGTAGTTCCCTCTTAAGTCTTTTAGACACTCAAATATAAACACAGTTGTGCTCTGATGTTTCCTTAGCAGGAAAACAGATGTGCAATAAGACTTGTGATGTTTTTTCCGTTTGTTCACAGAGGGCCTGGAAGTGAAGGGCAAGTGAAGGACATGAAATTTTTTAATGATAGCTTTTGTTTAAACTGTTTCAACAAAGATATCATCAGGGCCATATCTTGTAGCCAGGAAAGCATTGTAGATTTATGGTATTATGTGCATCAGCCTTCCAAGTGAAACAACATCAAACTCTGTGACTGAAAAAAGACCAGCTTTACCATCTTATGTACATAATCTACAGCCATTTAGAACAGAGGGACTTACAATTCTGCATTCTTCATCACCGCATGCCTGCTTTTTTCTAATACTTGTAAGGGTTATATATAAAATACTGCAACAATATATATCTAAATACAGGCAGAAGTAAAACACACTGGTGTAACCACAGTGGAGTTAATTTTAAAAAACTGCTTAAGAATAGCATTATTTAATAAAAGAACTTTACCAAATCAAAAGGGTTTAAATAAAAATATTTTTACCTTTTTAAGATTGTAATACAAACAATGGAGCATAGAAATACATCCCATTGATACTATCTGTTAAGTCTAAATGTTACAATTTAAGAAGAAATCATAAAAAACTATTAACCAAATAAATCATTAAATAGTATAATGTGTGTAGAAGTACACTATTCTATGTGTAAGCAGTCGCATTGTTCTTTTATATATTCAGCTACATGCTATTCTAGGTTAAAATCACAGATGTTCTGTTAGGCTCAAACCTCTCATCTGTTTTACCTTATCAAAACTTCCATTTCTGTCTTTCAAGAGAGTTGACCTGAAAAAAAAACCCCGAAAAACGCAGGGCAAAGTAAAATAAAAGGAATAGGTAAAACTGAAAGCAAATAAATATATTTGCAAAATAAATAAGCACAGCAAAATGAAGGAAGTTGTCAACATGCCACTTAGAAAGTTTCGAATAATTCTAGAAACATCTTGAAGTTGAGCAGCAGTAATTCATAGCAAAGCTGCATCATTTAATTTGTTACCTGATCCACCTAATGTGTGATTGCAAGGCCTTGCTCTGTAATTGCACATGTAGCAAAAAAGAGAAATATATTAACAAAATATACAGACAAGTAACTGTTAGTATTCAATTCTACCTATAGTACAATGACTATATAAACATTTTAAATCTAGACTATTTCTTTTTTTGTAAAAAGACTACTAATTCTCCTATGAATTCAGAAAACATACTGTTTTTCCTCACCTTCTGAAAGAGGGAAGACCTCACACTTTGAAGAAGTGATTATTAAGTTGAAAGTGATATTTTCAGGATTGAAAATGATCTCAGTAGAGCCTATGTCCATTAATAGCTCACTATAAATACCCGATCATAAGATACTCTGGGACTTTCTCCATGTTTCTTTCATATAGGTTAGTTATGTTTAATAATCTGACCTGACAAATGGTGTCAGCAAAAGAAAGAATTAAAAAGTCCGTAAAAATGCTCTTGTTAAAAATTTTTGGAATGAGAATTTGAGAACTATAAGTAGTAACTGTTACATTATGGGAAAAAATTCTTTAGTGCTTTCCCAAGAGAGTGAAGTGAAGATACTGTTAGGAGTTTACTTGAAAGAGTAAGACAGCGCAAAAAGAAAAACTAAGAACAATAAATGTAAATATAAATAAGCAAATAAAATCAAGCAAGAAGTCTATTAAAAATTACTATGTGTTTCTGATTGCTTAATCACAATTCACATACTAATATAAATAGAAAAGCAAACAAAAGATAAACATATAGAGTCTTTAAAGGGAAAAGCACAGTTTCAGAAAGACAGACCTATGCTGAAAACTTATGCTAGTGTAACACAGAATAAGCATGGAAATGAAGGACATGACATAGATGTCTGGTTATAATAGTGATGGTAGGATGGAGTGAGACTTTCATGTGCTTAATTTACTCCTGCTGTATTTTACAGAGGGATCTTTAAAAAAAAAATGATGATGGCTGTGTCTGAGTGCAAGGCGGAAACAGTTCTTTGCAAGAGGAGATCTAGGAAGAACGTTTCAGTATTTTTTTTTTTTTTAAGAAAACAGAAGTGCAGAAATCAGTGAAGGAATTGAAACTGGACTGCCTCTCTGGAGCAACAGGGAAATAGGCAACATTTTATGGCAGGTGGTCATAAAGGAGATTCAGAATATCTGAATTAAATCCTGGAAAGATGAATTTACTGAGGAAGGCAGGCATCCGAAGTACCTACTATAGATCGTTAAACAATTTCTCGTACTGCAATCTTTGCTGTTGCTATGACAGAACATAGGCTATATATAAATCCAGACTGAAACCCCCAAACTTACTACCTACTACCTTTCCACGCACATGAATCAGCACTCTTAATGTTTCAAGTTTATTAACTGTATTGTTTCTCTCAGAAAGTGCAGACTATTTTTCCTTTAAGTTATATTTTGTGATATTCAACTAATGCCTAAAATTTGTGTTTACACATTAATAATATTACCAAAGGCTAAAATCCTAGCTGTATCTTTTATAAATTGTAAAAATGCCAATAATAATATATTTAAGACAAAATATTGAGGTTCAGAAAATATTTGCATGCCCTCTTTTAATATAAAAATGTCCAGATGTTTCTTTTACACAGTATGCTCCACTTCCTCTGTAAGCCAACAAAAAGAATGGGATCTTATGAAGTCTGTATCTGAACTGTCCAAAGTTAGTCATCCAGCTGGCAGAGCAACGCAACACCGCGCTTGATCCAGTGTTGGACTGGTTTATCCGTGTTAAGCATCAAAGCAATGACGAAGTTAGTAGAATGCCCGGTAGTAGATAAGATTCCTTTACGTTCGCTTGTCTTGTAGAGTGGGCAAACATAGGCGGTAGATTTCTTTATGTCCGATTTTGCAGCTTCAAAAAAAACCCCCAAAATAACATATTACATTCAGCAGGTCCACTGATAGAAACATAATCTACATACAAATATTAAGTATTTACAGTAACATACTTAAAGCTAAATAAAAACGCAAAATTGTTTTGTGAGTAATGTAATAAAATTATCTGGCTTTTTTGTGTTTCCTAGTGTGGTTTGTTTTGTTTTTAAACCCAACTAATTTAACTGCAATTTGTTTTCAGGACTCGATGACTTTCTGTGATTCTATCAGCTTTGTAATTCAAAGACACATTAAAATCTGAATAGTTACATAGTTAAAAGCATAGTTTATACACAAGCTTTTAACAGCTCCACTAGAATTCCATTCCAAGCAGCCACAAACCCAACTGCAATTCAAGTCACCTGAGATCCAAGGTCACAACTCTGCAGGAATTCTTTGTATGCCTAGACTGCTTACCTGCAACTTATGCCAAGTCTAAAATCAGGCATGTCTGAACAGATTCCTCCAGCCTCAAGTGAAAGCACAGGCAGAAAAATTGGAAACTTTGTAAGACTGCCTATGCTCTAATAACATCTAAGTTGCAACAGTTGCAGTAGAAACTCCTGCTTAAGTGAATAAATAAAAACAGGGATTTACTGCTCCTGATCAAAGAAAACAACAGTTTTGGAAAATATCTTACTAGTATGACAGACAACTAGCATAGCAGCTAAAAATAACCTGAGCAAACCCTGCTAAATCACATGACATAAAACACTGAGTTTCTGTAAGTCAATTAAAAGTTCTCCTCAACTTCAGTAGAGACAGGAATTCAAGCACCATGTGCTTTCCTACCCAAATTAACTTTTGGTTAAAAAACAGATTAGGCAGCACTTAAATGTATTTATTAAAAAATTCATTTCACTAGTCCTTTTGCCTAATCCATAATTATAAACATCTGTGGGGAGAGGGACAGGCCTATTGCTCACATGAGATGTGACTAAGCTAGCAAGCTCAGGTTTTAATGTAAAAGTCATAAGTCAAATGCACATGAATTCTGTGAACATTTGGGTACTTTGGTGAGGGTAGGAGCACTGATCTTCTGTAAAAAAGGAATTAACTGTTGCAATTTCTTGTTGAATAGCTCACACTTCAGAGAAATTATACTCACTTGGCTTTATCCAAATGATTGGCATCATATCAAAGAGCGATTTGGGATACTGCTCAGCTAACATTCCCCTGGTGAGAGAAAACAACAAAGTAATTACGTGTGGTTTGGTGTTAAACCAAAGAGGGGTTTGGTGTGTGGTTTTTGGTTGTTGCTTGCTTGTGTTTTGTTGGTTTTTTTCCCTCATTTTCCATGCATTAAAGAGTACGCAATTTGGTGTGTTATTTCAATAATATGAAAGTTATCACTTAAAATATTTAAACAAATCTTGTTCGAACACTTAAGAAAGCTTTCCAGAACCATAATAAAACACTTTGTTACTGACTTCGTCCTGTCCCAGCGAGCTCCATCTAAAAATAATCCATGGATATAAACACCATCTTCTGGTGCAGTATCAGCAGTATCCTGAGGAATAACCTACAAGAAATATGCGTTCCATGTTATTAAACTTTCATAAGTGTTTGGGTTTTGAGGATATTATGCCAATGCCAATAGTCAATTTTCAGAAGATCGATCCAAAATCAGAATAACATAGT